TAATGAATAATTTGTATATTTGTTTAATTAACACAAATATTTAATTATGTATTAAGTTAATTCATTTTGGTACTCGAGGTCCTCCATAACTTCAGGGTTGAAGTCTTTAAAGCTTAAAGTTTCTACTTCAGTTATATTAACTAATGAAGCAAAGCTACAAAAGGAGTCTTTGTAAAATAAATTATGCACCCAACCCCCTTTTTTTAAATTGTGCTAGTTGCTCTTTCTTTTCTCATTTCTGATTTTGAGAAAGTAAATAAAATTAAGAAAATTAACTAGTAAATTAATTACAAAAACAAATAATTAAAAAAAAACTCACATCCAGAATGTCCAAGATGTATATAATCAGAATCAGGACAAACACAATGAGGAATACGAAGATGTAACCAGGCTTCGGAAGGCAGGTGGAGTGTTTATAAAGTAGGAACTTCATGATTGGAAAACAGTCCTCATTTCTTGTTGCAGCGTTGTGCTGTGTGACCAGGTCACCTGGTAGTGAATGTAGAAGTGAGAAAAATAATATATCCCAGTTTCTTGACTGTGCTCTGCATTATGTATGTGGAAACTATCTTACTTTCACAGTTAAACATAGCAATGGTTAAGCAGAGAGTTATGTGGATCCTTCCAGGTTTTAATAATGGAGCGGATTTTTATATCAGTTTCAGCAGACTCCTAGATGTTTTCTTTGCTTAATGAGTGACCATTCTCTGAAACAGAGTAAGACTTTTTCCAGTATTTTCACATTTCTTCTGACATCACCATTAAACAAATGAGAAGATATTCATTATCATTTTTTTTCCAGTGTTTGTTGAATAGTAGGAAGATCCTGACATAAGTTACAGTTAATTTATAAAGATTCCTGAGAGGTAAAGAGACAAGCAAATACATAAAGTCTAGTGCTTAGTTGTTTCCAACTATAAATGTTTGGAAGAATCTCTAAGAAATATTTGTAGTGAAAGAAAAGTTATGTGAATTGAAATAGCAAATGCTGTAGTGTACAGGGAGTGCACATGTGGACAAAACAGAATTTCCAATGCTTTCATCATTCTAACAACTTACTTTCTTTATAAGATGTCAGGAAAACTGTCTAATGTCATGTGCTACATAATCTAATAAACATAAAATACTTTGTAAATAAATTTAAAATTTCAATCAGGAAAGAGGAACGTCAAAGGTATAGAAATATACAGTTCAATAAACAAGTAAGAGCAAAGTACGAGACACAGAAGTAATGAATATGTAATAACTGGAATATTTTCTGCAGGAAAATGTGGATAAACAGTGTAAAGTTACCTACAGAGTTTATCCAAGGAATTTGTGTTAAATAGTCTTCTTAATGTTTGAACAATGTCAGTAATACTCAGTAAATCAGAATCTGACATTTCTTACTTTAGTGGAGGAAATGATTTTACCGAGGATCCAGTTCTGATGCTGACTTGCAGTTCAGTCCTTTTTTCCTGTCTTTGCTTCAATCTTGTTGGCTTCCAGGTAATTATTGCCTTTGGGTGAAACCAACATATCTTGCTCATTAAATTTTTGGCATCATTGTCAGGAAGTGGGTGGAGAGAAAGGTCTTTGGATACTAATCTTTGCACAGAGGGTGTTCTTTTATTATGTCAACAAACCAGGCAGATGACTGAGAGAGATATCGTTCAGGTTAGTTGTGAACTTATTATCAGACTGCTGTAGTTCAGTTTACCTCTCCTCCAGGCACCTGCAAGAACTGACAATCCATCATGTTTTGGTTCATCATGATATCTACAGACCTCCAAACTTCATGTGGGCTTCAGATAAGCTCTAGAACAGTGCATAGCAAACTAGATGAAATAGGTTTCCATGGCTGCGCAGCTCAATCCAAATCCTACAGCATCAACTACAATGCAAAGCCTTAGATTAAATGGTGTAAGGCACACTGCCACAAGACTCGTGAGCAGTGGAAACGTGCTCTTTGGAGTGGCGATTCAAACTTCTGAATCTGACAATCCAATGGATGAGCTAGGAGAACAGTACTCGTCTGACTAGGTTGTACCAAATGTCAAGTTGGGTGCAGGGGAGTGTTTGGGGATGGCCCCTTTCTGTTCCAACATGACTGTAAACCACTGCACAAAGCCAGGCCCATCGATGAGTGAGTCTGGTACAGAAGAACCTGACTGGCCCACATAGAGTCCTGACATCAACCCGACAGACCACCTTTGGGATGAATTAGAGCAGTGGCTGTGAGCCAGGACTTCTTATCCAACTTCAGTTTCTGACCTCACAAATGCGCTTCTGTAGGAATGGTCAAAATTTCCCAATAAACACTGTCCTAAACTTTGTGGAAAGCCTTCCCAGAAGACTTGAAATTGTTACAGCTGCAGAGCCGACATCAAAAGAATGGGATGTCACTTAAGCTCATATATGTGTGAAGGCAGGCGAGCAAATACTTTCGGCAGCATCACGTGAGTGTGAGTGTTATTTTGTTTCAAACTACTTCTGGGTGCTTTTTGGTTTCTTTGAGAACCAGCTCCTCTATGTGTCAAAGTTGTTTTAGCTAAGATTATAAAAAAGACACTGAGTGCATATAAAAGACAGACTTGGCCATTGGTTTGTGAACTAGACATCGCAAGTGTGAAACCAAGGGACACTCATATTTATGTGGTACCTAACTGTCAATCACAAGGTAGGTTCACTGCTAAGCACATCCTGTTTCAGCATCCTTAGAGATACTAAGGGAAACTCAAGTCTACGGGATAAAAATCTGAACTAATAGGATTTGAAACTGGAATTTAATGCTAGAAATGTATTTCATATCATAATCATATATACAGAAATTTAACATTGCAGCATGGACAACAGGTGACATGAATTTCTCCATGAACTTATACATTTATAATGACAGCAGTATCCCATAGAGACAATCTAAGTTTAAGGCACATTCTTATTTCTTCATTTTTCAACTCAGAAGGTGCGGCCAGTTGTTTTATGCAGTCTATCATCTAAACACATCTCTTTGTAGACATACACTCTATAACTGTCTGGGAAATGATCTGCAAATATTTCCTTTCTGCCAGCTCTCTGTTTAGTTTAGTTATGGATATTGGCATTAAGGCTTTGTTTTTGTTATTTTGGTACCACAGATCCTGAAGCCAGAATGGAGACCTTTATGTTCATGTAATAAAATGTCTTAATAAAACAATTTAAGAGCTGATAACTGAGAAACAGCTCAGCATTGCAGTATTATCTTGGTTTGGTTTTATGACTTTACAGCTTCAGTTCAGTCACTCCTTGACAGATTGTACCTGACACAGCAGGTAGCTGTTTTAGCAAAATAGCCCTAATAACCACTGAAGAAACATCTATTAGACAAGGTGGTGAGCATAGTGGATCATTTTCAGCTTAAGAGGAATATATTTCTTTGTTTCATAGCTGGAGAGCAGAAC